AATATCAATAGGCCCTAGATCAATTTCAGACATAGCCTTAACCAAAGCCAAAGAATCTGATTCAAACCAAACCATAGCAAATGGGATAGATAACGCCCAAAAAACTGCTTTGCGTAGACAGATAGCCTCAGCTAAAGTCGCACTTAAGGCAGGGAATTGACTAAAAACCACAGCCTGCAGAATAGAGCCCGACGAATCTCGAAAAACAGCGCCACTGCCTCCCACTTGAGAAGATTCAGAAAAAGACGCATCCATATTACACTTAATAATACCTGGAGGAAGGGGCAACCATCTAGACAAAGAAGATGAGAAAGGCTGGGGAGGGGGGGGGGGGGGGGGAAAGATTGAAGCTAACCTCGGGACTAACTCAAAAATGAAACGTCTAACCCCTCCTTGAACTCCCAGAGTGAAGAACATGTCAATCTAACAATCTTCATCGCATCCCAAAGCTCTTCACGAAAAATAAAATTATTTCTAACCTTCCAAATAAACCAACAACAGAAATCAATGAAACCCAACACATCCGATCCCCCCTCCTTATGCCCCCACTGTTTAGACAAACGTAACCACCAATCTACAAAGGAGGAATGATGATCCATAGCAAAGTCTAATCGAAGCGGGAAAAGCTTCCAAACCTGCACAAAATGGGGACAGTGGAAAAGCAAATGTTCAATAGATTCCTCAGTTAAACCACACCTAGGGCACACAATATCAACATCAAGACCACGAATGCTTAAGCGTTCACGAACAGGAAGAGCACGTTTACAACATTTCCACAAGAAATGCTATATTTTTGGCATAGTCCCACAAGACCAAATACTCTTCCGTAAAGACTTACTACCAAACTGTAAACCAAGACCCACCAAAGAGTGATTCCCCCCTTCCAGAAGACCATACGCCAATTTATAAGCTGATCTCACTGAAAACATACCATTGGATTCCAAACCCAACCCAACCTATCCGCATTAGAAAAAACATTGAATCCACATTTAAGGATAACATCAATAGTGGCATTTGGAAAAATACAATGAAGTAAATCCACATTCCATCCCTGACCTGAAGGATCGATCAATTCCGCCACAAACTGGGGAACGAGCAAATGTGGTGGTCTCGGAAGAGGAAACAGGTGCTTAGGAACCCAATGATCCGTCCAAATGTGAATAGAGTGCCCATTACCCACTATCCAGCGACAACCAGCAGCAATAAGAGATTGAGTTGACCAAATACTCCGCCAAGCCATGAAGGATTTGATCCTAACTGAGCTTCCAAAAAAGAACAATGGTGAAAGTATTTAGCTTTGAACACTGCTGTGTATTACTTGAGTTGGTAATGTTGTTGTGCTTTTTACTGATGTTATGTGCTCTTGTGGGTATGTGGGGCTGTTATGTATTACCAATAATAAATGAGATGATGCATTTTGACTTTGTTCAATTTTTTAAGAGTTTTAGTACATAACTGTTACTACACTTTGGTAATGTTGTTGTACTCTTGTGTGCATATGGCAGTTGCTGTGTATTACCCAAACTATATGGGATGTTGCATCTTGAGTGGGATTTCAATGTTACAAATTTGGGCATGAAAAAAGGTATATTTTTTTAGTGTAATCAATATTTCAACTTTCTATTTAATAGATGATTGTTTTCATCACTTTGCTAATTCTTGTTTTTTTTTTGGACAATTGGGTAATGTTGTTGTGCTCCTCTCTTGTTGTGTAATGGGACTGTTATGATGAAAATTATTTTGAGGTCCTCTTCTCAAAAAACTTGGAAATCGTCCATACTCAGGAAGTTAATTTACATAGCTTACCCTTTAACCAAAAAAAAAAAAGTTTATTTACACATATATATATGCATTTTGGTTGGAGAAAAGGCTTTGTTGTTGCTGTGTATCATTCTTGTATTTCCACTACTAAAGATCTCTTGTGTGCGTTCTGTTGAATTGTATCATCATTAATGTAATCTTTTTTTCTTTTTCTTTTTTGGGTTCTAGTATAAAACGGTATTCTGCAACTAGAATTTACCTTGGTGTAATTTTAATGAGAACTTTGATGTTATTATTTCCTTGAGAGCTTTGATGTTAGAATTTACCTTGTTATAATTTTAAAGCAGGTGGTTGCATTATTTTTTTAAGTACCAAAAATTTTAGCAGCCTTTAACAATTTTCATTCAAATGGATCCATTCATCGAACATGATTGCTCCCATGGCTACAATGTCTCTACTAAGAAGGGGATTTGCATTAAGTTTAAATGACAAGGGGATTAACTTTTACCAATACGATTTGCATTATGTTCAATGAAAAAGAAGGGGATTTGCATTAGGTTCTGTTTGTTTCGACATAATTAAAATAATTTTTTTTTGAAAACATTTTTCTTTTTTTAGGTAAAATATTCTTTTATTTTTATTTTTTCGGTATTTGTCAAAAATCTACGTTGAGATTGGGGTTGAATCCATTGAGCGGGCACTTGCCGAAAATTGATGGATAAATTATTTTTGTTCAATTTTAATATATTTTTTTGACTTCGTAAATATTTTATAACAACCAAACACTAAAAAATAAAAAAATATTTTTTGAAAAATATTTTACATCCAAACAAATGAATAAGTTTTGACAAAATTTTCAAGTCTTGGAGGTGCACCTCCTGTGAAAGGGGATTTAATTTCAATTATCATTGCAAAACGTGGATTTTGCATTAAGCTCAATGACGATGTACATACAAGAGATGTGTCAAATTATGCAAAATTTACCTATGCATTCTTACTCATATCATCATACTTTTTATAAAATTATTAACTGTTGATAAGGGGAAAAAATTATGTGTTAATTTTTTTTTTTTTTCAAAACATATAAAAAAATGTACTCTCTATATAATAATAATTTAATAATATATTTTAAATTTTCAAAAACAAATCAAAAACACTATTTACCAAACATGTTTCTTATTTTTGTTTCAGTAATTTTGGCAACAGTTTGACTCTGCCAAACATGTTTTGTTTTTAAATTTCTTGAAACGTAAGACCTTGCCAAACATGTTATACATGTTTCTGCTTCTGAAATTCCCACTGCAAATCCATAGCAAAATACTTGTTTCGTTTTAGGTTAAAACAAAACGCCAAAAACACTAACACGTACCAAACATGGCCAAAATATTTACGTATTTCTTAACTACACAATCTTACAAATACAGACCAAATTCTTGTCTCTACTTATTCTAAAATAAATCTATATCAAGTTTAGATAATTCCAAATATTAATTTATAAAATAATAATGGGCAAATTACATCTAACACCCACGTGGTTTACATATTGTGCAGTTAAATAGAAGTATGAAAAATATAACAGTAAGGTCCAAATTGACTATTTGACTTTTGAATATGAAAGTTAATTTACATATATAATCTTAAGGCACTTAACCATTATTCAAAAGAAAAATTTGGAAGGAAGTTGACGAGAGTAACTTATGTTTTTACCCCTTCTTAATGGGCTCACCATTATTTTTGGTTATATGGGCAGTACTTACTAACTTAAACATGTTCTTTTTTGGCCTCACTAGTTTATGTGTATGGGCAGTAAACATGTGTATAAGTTATGTGGGCACCTTATTTTGTAAATCAGTATGTATGGAACATGAATATGCTTGTTAGCATTGGTACTTGAGAACTTATATGATGTAATATTTATGACTTGTTGATATGTATATGTTGGTGAATTAGTAAGCATAATATAATATATTGTACCACACTTTCAAAAAATGCCACACTACATTACCAATGTCCCTATCACTAGGATGCACAAGCAAATAACATGATTATAGCTGAAACACAAAAAATAAAGATACTTCCAAAGACCATTGTCTTGGCTATTCCTAACATGGCCTAACTTGTGCAGTTACATGCAAAACATGGGTTAGCATAAGACATTGGCTTGATGGACCATTGATGTTCCGTGCAAAACTTAATTCAAATAGTGGAGGAAAAAGTTTTGCATGGCTGGACGTAGAGATAAAGAGAAAGGGCACTTTTGTCTTTTTTGAATGATATAATTTCAGTTCAATTAATGGACAATTTGGTCTTCTCACAATATCAAGGTTATTTATGTCCAAAAGTATAATTACCCTACATTGATTTGATGCATCACTCAAGAGTGAAACCACAAGAGTGGTAGATGAATATATCGCGCATACTTCTATTTAGGTGTACAAAATGAAAATATATCGCGCATACTTCTATTTAGGTGTACAAAATGAAAATTTCATAGGTGTTAAATGTAATTTGCCCAATAATATATCTAAATTTACAATTCTTGTTAATATCACCATATTCTTCTAGTGCAATTTTAACAATTTTATTTAGATTCTTAATGACTTGCATTCTGCTTGCTAGCAATGAAAGTACTTAAAAAAATATTGTTACCAACATATAGAAAGCTATTTATGGCTCGTTTGGCATGCGTTTTGTTTTAAATGTTTTGTTTTTGATATTTTATTTTTGGCTAAAATAGAAACAATATTTTTGCTATAGGAATGTTTTGGAAAAAAATCGAAAGTATGTTTGAGAACGATGTTTTGTTGTGAAAATGTTGGAAACAGAAGTATGCAAAATATAGTTTTAGGCCATGAACAATTGTCAAAACAAGAAAAAATAACTTTTTGGTGTTTTGGTTTTGGGCCACTATTCACGAAGTGTTTTAACATTGTGTAAAATAAAATAAGATCACACTAAACATGTTTTTGTTGCCAAAATCGACAATGTAGAACCTAAAAACAAAAATAGCATAAACAAAATGCGTGCCAAACGGGGCCTTAATTTTGAAAATAGTACTTTATATAATATATTATAAAAAAAAAACACCTAAAATGTTTTTTAACTAATGGTAAGCTTTAAATATAGTAGTTAATAAAATTTAGGATTACCTAGCACACATGACACACCCCTTCACGAAAAATAAAAAAATAAAATAAAAAATAAAATAAAATCATTTGAAGCAGTGCATCCCAGGATTCGAAGACCGGTACCTTCTTTTATTCACCTAATAGGGGAGAGTGTTCTGAGCTTTTGTTGCTCCAAGACCCTTCTCTGGAGTAGTTCGTTCAGTTCTCACGAGCCCTAGTCCCGATTTCTTCTTGTTCTTCACACTCGGAGTATATATATAATATAAATTATATATATGCATATGTAGATCTCAACTCAACTCGTACAGGTATTCCACGCACTCTCTCTCTACATCTAAAACTAGGGTTAGGTTTTAAAGTTTAGATGTCTGTACATTTGTGGATTGAACTCTGTATAATCTTGTAATGCCCTTTAAATATCATTTTGAATTTTGTTATTGTTAGAAATAAGCAATTTTGTTATTGGGTGAGAGACGAAGGACAATAATGAAGTCATAACTGTGAATATTATGCTCTCTGAATAATGGCAACTTAATTAATCCAGTTACTTGCATCACCAGGCTCAGTTTGATGGAGGTCTATGTGTTCTCGAGTTCCAATTTTATGGAAAAATAAATGATTTGAGAAAGTTTAATTTTCTGTTCCTGCATTTTCTCATCAACCAAACAGCACTGGAAGGTGTGAGTACTGGGTGTTTGTGTAATTTGTTATTTGGGGAACTGCTGAACAAAAACTCATCTCAGGGTGTGAAATGTGAATTGGGTGTTTGTTGAACTATTTTTTGGGTCATGAGGCATGAAATCATGAGTCATGACTAAGAGAGTGGTGGGGCTTTTTGTTTTTGGAGAAAGAGAGCAGCAAGTGCTTTTGATATTAATGAAGGGGTGCATTACTTGAAAATTCATAAGCCCACCCTCTCAATATAAACAAAATGTTGCTACTATTATTTGGATATGTAATATGAACAGAATGTTATTATTATTTTCTTGATAAGTAATTTGAACAAAATATTATGGTTTTTGAGTCAAATTAAGTTCCTTTATTTGGTTGCAAAATAATGCATAACGGTCGCTAGCCAAAACAAACTTTAATCTTGAGTTTAGTTTGAAAAACCAATATAATGCTAGCACCTTTTGTGTTACCAGTAATAACTACATCTAAAACTTTGGAGGATGTTATACTAGCTTGGAAGTCTCAAGAAGCCACCTTTGGAATGTAATCTGAGCTTTGTTCACATGTTCAGAGAGAAAATCTTGTTGATGATAAGAGTTTCTAATAATTATGTTAAATCGGATCTAAAGTTATTCTCTTCTGATTATTCCCAATATCAAGACCTACAACTAACTCAAGACCCATAGTAAGAATTGCTCATGGGACTAATTGGAATTCCCATTTGTATGGATGATAGTTTTCATATCTTCGTCTATTGTTGGAATTATCTCTCTTTGTTTGTAGCATGCATACTCTGTGTTGTCCAGACTCTTCTCTTTACTCCAAGGTTCACGTGTTGACATTAGTATGTGATACACTGATACCAATCTGACACAAGTATCCATGTGTTGGACAGGTGAAGAAGCTCTTTGATTAGGGTTTTTAGTTGTCAAAGTATATTGTGCCCTTCGAGGTCAACAATCACCAAGATCCTAGATTTTTTTTAATAGAAGCGGTATTCCATAGGAACAAGTAGTAAATGAAGATCACATTGATGGAGCTCTTCAAGAGCTTTTGTTCTTGGACACATTTGGCTTCATGCAGAGGAAAAAGGGAAGTGATACATTATTCACACTTAGCATTATAATACAAGAAATCTTTCTAAATTTTCAAGTGCTTTCCAAGTTCTTTTGTATTTTCAAGCTAACTTTAATCAATTGATAATTTTATTTTATCCTTATAAAACCTTCTAGTTTTCTATATTTCTGCCCATTTCTTTTTTGTCTTTGTAAAGTGTTTCCTATGGTTAATATTTTTATTTTAAAACAATGTCTCAGGATATTCAAGAATATCCTCACAGGATTTTTAAATTACCTGTTACGTATCATATGAGATGTGATGTGTATTTGGCTAAGTCCGACGTGTTCCTGTACCTGCACTCAATTTTGGACTCATTTTTAGCCCAGTCCCCCTATTCTAAGTTTTTTTTTCCCCTTCCGATGAGTAAAATAGAGCCCCTATCCTAAGTTTTCATTACGTAAGTTTGATACTCTTATACAAAGGCGTACTCGTGTCCGGTAGCAAAGTGGGCGTGTGTTTGTTTTTTTTTTTTTTTTGGTTGTAGTGTAGGATGAGTGAAAGGTTCTTGCTTGTTATTAGAGTTTTATAAAGATCATAAATCGGCTTAATTTTGAATAGACAATATCACATAATGATGAGTGAAATTGAAATCCCATATTGGTAAAAATCTCTCTCTAGTTGCAAAAAGCTTGAGTTTTGTACCATATTTTCTCTCTCTCTCTCTCTCTTTTATTTTTTTATTTTTTATTTTCATTTGTTAATTTATTTTTGTGCTTTAAGCACACAGTTTAAATTATTTTCAGGACTTGTACAATATTTTTCAATCCAACATGTCTAGGTTTATCCATCTATTTTAGGGCACAAGAACACAGCTGTCCACTTTTTCATTTATCCCTAGGTTATAGTAAAATGTTTACAAAACATAGAATGTTTAACACGCGTCCTTAACTGACTTTGACAAATCCATGTAATATAGGATCAAAATTGGGAAAATATCTCATGGAACTCTAATTACGAATTTGCTCAATCTTCCTCTTCTGGACACAAGTGTCTCGTACGTGTCTGACAAAAGGTTTGTTTGATACGTTTCATACCCATGTCTATGTCGTGGATTGTGCACTTTGACATATCCATGTAATATATGGTCAAAATTGGGAAGCTATCTCATGGAACTCTAATTATGAATTTACTCAATCTTCCTCTTCCTGGACACAAGTGTCTTGTACGTGTCTGACAAAAAGGTCTGTTTGATACGTTTCATACCCATGTCTATGTTGTGTCATGTGCAGTACATGTCGCTCACACTTTCCGAAGTACCCTTGTGGAGTGGTTCGTATTAACAATTTCTGCATAAAATATTTTGTGCCCTTATTGGTATCTACTTATATTTTACCTGCTCATGTTTAGTGGGGTAACAACTGACTAACATGTGTGTGATGTGATCTTGGGTGGCTGATCCCACTTTGGCAATGCCATTATGAAAGCTTTATCTACCAGTTCTATCAGTCAAACCACAAGTCTCTAACCCCCTGGTGGCTGCATAACCTTTCCAATATCCCACTCTTTTCAACACCATATTCCTTACACCATTTCAATCTGTGTCTTTGATGATGTATTATATCCTCATAAATCTTTAAACCTGTATGCAGTTGAAGTAACTATTTGCTTGAGCTATAATTGTTATAGAATTTCTATATAGAGAAGTTCCACACACTAGTCATTACTGTTGATTCACAGCTACCTTTTTATGGACGACTTTTTTTTTAACTCAATAAATAGATTTTCAGTTTTATTTACTCTCCCCTCCTGTGTGGTAAACTCTGAGTGTTAGGTAGTTTTGGAGTGACTGTCATCTTAGATTAGTTTCTGAACCGACTTATCTTCTACATTTGTGTAATCCAAGCTAAGTGATAGTTGGGACGTGTTTGGAGAGAAAGATGAGCACGAAGGTTGAGCAGGCATCTACTCTTGAACCTCACCGTCTTCAGACCACTGCTACGGCTGCTGCATCTACAAGTACACCAAAGATTTCTAAGTTCGCAGCAAAGTCTGGATTTGTAATACCAAAAAACAAATTATCAGGTTCATTGGTTCCCATATTCCGTGGTGGTAAAAAGCTGGGAGGCAGTGATGCAACGAATGAAGAAAGTACCAAACAAGTGCAAAGGAAAACAAAATGGGCCCTTGATCTGACACAGGATGCTGCTGTCAGAAAAGGAAGAGCCTTAGCTTATCAGGTATTTAGTGATAGTTTGTGGCTTGTACAAGATTTTCATCTTTTTATTTTGCCAAGACTTCTTGAAAGATTTTTTTTTTTTTTTTTTTTTTTTTTGTCATTTTCATTTCTAACTTTATGGCATTTAATTTGGACTGATTTTGCATTTTTTGTTTTTGGTATCTGGCCTTGTTTTTTATTATAGTTTTATTTTTATTTTAAAAAGATCTTCATTTAGGTGTTAGTTATAAGTTTTTAGTAATGAGTTGGAGGCGATTATAGACCCAATTGTTGGAGGAATATTTTACTGCTCAGCTGGTGGAAATTTAAGACTTCCCCTATTGTCATTGGGTGTTGCAATGTCAGTTTCTTCTTTATATATGGCTTGCATGGACTTCCCGTTGCACCAAGTGATATTGCTGCCTGTTTGGTGGTATAAATTTTGTGCAGATTCGAGTTGATCAACTCACGCAAAGTCTGGCTTCTGGGGACAATCAAGACTCATCACCAGCAGCCCAGAATCAGGACCATGAGTCTTCAGGTCATCGGATTAACAATGAGGTAAACTAATCATTCGGGTTTCAGTATTTCCATGTTACACAGGTTTTAGCTTTTGAAACACTTAATTTATAATTTGCTGATGTAGAATTCAGAACTGTTGGAACTGGAAAGACGAGAAGCTATTGGTACATTCAACAAGGCCTTTCTAAATTGATGTCTTTCTTTTATAACTTTATATATGGCATGCTTATGTTCTTTTTGATTTCTAGGTGAAATACTAAAGTTGAACCCAAGCTACAAGGCCCCGTCTGATTATAAACCCTTGCTGAAAGAGGCTAAAGTTCCTATTCCTGTAAGTTCACTTACAGTTATCACATATTGCTTGCTGCCTTTTGTTCTCAGTTTGTATGATGTCATAATTATCTCTGAAAGAGAAAGTGGCTTATTCTTCTATCCTACAGTCATGCAACAAACTTACTAAAATGTGCAAGGCTGTGGGGTATGGATTTAGTCGATAGAGATCACATATGCATCCTAAGTTTTAGAGGAATCAATAGCTTCGATGATACGAGGGGTAAAGGTGTTTTCACTGAATCATGGTACGTGCTATAATGTCAGGACAGTGGAGAGTCGATTTTAGTGTCATAAAAGTTTTTTTTTGACACAATAGTTGAATTCATGTCAGATTGGATCATGGCTGTTAGAAGCTAATAAAATCAGAAATTCGAAGGGACGAGTTCTAATTCCGAAAAATGAAATTAAAATTGAAGGTGCCACTCAGAAAAGAGGAAAACTGAAAAAGACATGAATTGGCATTTGAGAGGACATGATGGTATTTGATTTAATGAATGCTGATGCCCTAGAATGGTTATAAGTAGATATGTGAAGCTGCCTGCTGCCCCCAAGCAGACAAGGATTTCCTGGGGTTAGTAGGACTTTATTGCTTTTGGGTCCTAATAAAGGAGTCAATTTTTATTGTCTCTTTGTGTATTAAATTATGAACTTATTATGTGTTGATCAATGTGTGATATGAAAAACATACATATAACACCGCACCAAGGTGTAATTCAATAATTAAGGCAACTTTTTTTCAATGACACCTCTGTTCAATCAAAGATCTTTAGTAGTAGCCCCTAGATATACTGACAAAATTTGGCAGTAGTTGTCATTGGCTAATACTTTATATTATTATTTGGTACCTGTGGTAAGAACAAAGGATTTCTTTATTTGATTTGCATTTTGTTATCTGTTCATCAGAGGCCTGTCATTCTTGCGAGTTGTACATTCTTTTCTTTTCTACCAATAATATCTTCTGTTTTGTGTTTAAAAAAAAAAAAAAAAACAAGAAAAGAAAAGAATGAAGGTATTAGTTATAGCTGCACCATTTTGTTTATGCTCTAACTACAGATAAATGCTTCTTCAGTGCAGCTTCATGGGTGATCGACAGAAATAATATACGGACTATCACGAAGTATTAGAAAATATGTTTAAATTTTTGTTAGGAAAAGAAAAATTGGCCATAGGAAAAAATAAGTTTATTTATTTATTTTTGTATTATTTAAATTATCTATCAATATAACTTTTTCCTAGGAAAATTGACCTTAGGGACACCTATTTAGGTGATAGATGGGAACCTTTAAACAAATGAAATCTCCATAATGCATCCAATCTTTCTTAACATTGTGATGAAATAAAGGTTTCTTATAATTATTTAGCTCCTCGACATTAGGACATGAGGACCGGGGTATTTAGCAGGAATAGTTTAGAGAAAGCTTAATGTGTACCTGTCTTTGAGAAAAGCAAAGCATTTTAGAAATAATAAGTTTATGTTATTTTCAGAATATTGAGAAATTTGTGAATAGTTCTGGAGGTATCCATTACCTTTTAGATTTTCATGATTTTTTCACTTGGTTGTATAAAGTGAGATAGATTCAGGTTTCGTATGCTGCTGGAGGAAGAAGTTTGGTGAAAATTAACTAATTTATAGTCCTTGCAGTATTTCAATGCTGCAGATAGAACACAACAATCATAAAGGAAAATTGGCATTGCATGATGTATTCTGTTTAATTATGAGATCATGGTCTCATCTATTCTGATTATGAACTGGTTAGATGTATGGTATATATCTACATCGATTATTTATCAATGGATTTGATATTTCTGCCATCAAGCTATTACTTCTTGTAGGATGAGACTAGGGCTGCAAATGAACCCAGCCCAGATGATGAGCCATATATATAATTTTTAAGGTTCGGCTCTGCTGGAATGTTGAGGTGATCAAACTCGGCTGAGCTTCAAGTTTCCTGTTGTAGCTTGTTGCTAGTCATTAGCAAGCTTGCGAGCTAGTTAACCCTGGCTGGCTACCGTTTGCGACCTTCAGCGGTTAACTTTTGTGATCAATATGCCAAACACCTATTGGTTATATATAAATACTTAAAAGTGAAATGAGTAAAACAAGAATAGGACAACCTGATGTGTCAGACAATGGTGCGTAAGAAGGTTTAATAGCCCTGCCACCTTCTGTCTCTTTAACTCATCTTTTTCATTGGACACATTAAATGCACAAGGCACTAAAATAGTTATTTGAAATTTTAAATAGCCATGACATGTAGGGAAGATTACGAACAACACTGTTAACTGCTCTTCACATTTTCAAGCCGAGCTTGGACTTTATCTGGCTCAGATGGTTTGATAAACAAGCTTGAAACCAACTTGAGCTTGGTAAATCTCAGTTTATTTGCTGTCCTAGATGAGACATATCATGATATCTGAAAATCAAGTGCCAGTGAAATAAATTTTGCTTGGTAAATCTAGGTTTATTTGCTGTCCTAGATGAGACATATCATGATATCTGAAAATCAAGTGCCAGTGAAATAAATTTTAGTTCCTAACGCCATGTGGTATATTGCCTTTGCAGATCAAGGAATATCCTGGATACAATTTTCTTGGTCTTATATTTGGGCCTGCAAGTGATACTCAAAAGCGAGTGGAGAAGGTATGCATATTGTTTGATGCCACTATCTTATTGATTTGTGAGTTTATAAAAGGCCCATGCATTCTAGCTAAAGATTTTAATGTGAAGAGATCACCATTTACTCATCAATTGTTTTTCAAATTGCAAATCAGGAAACTGGAGCTAAGATACAAGTTTATGGTACAAAAGCAGATACAGGAGAGAAGGTAGTGTGTCTGATAAATAAAAGTATATACCGTTTCACATGGTCAAACAGAAACTTCTTCTTCATTGATTCTGCACTCTCCTGTTTGATCTTTTATTTATTTTTTCTTTCCTTAGTTTTTTCTTAATATATGTTACCTTGAATTGTTTACTATTTGTTCATATAATTTATTCTCTGATGTTTGCTACAGTGTAACACAATGTTTAAACTGAGGTCCTAAATTTTTTTGCGTGTCTTATTTCCAGAGTGAAATCACCTCATCGGATGGAAATGAAATCCATGGTGCTTATCATGAGTTGTATGTTCGTGTCTCTGCTGATGCATATGGGAAGGTTGATGCTGCAGTTGCCCTAATTGAACTGTTAGTCACCCCAGTTTCAGTGAGTTTCATATACTGATGATTCTATATACCTATCTCTTTCATGCTTGTTCTGTTATACCATAGAGCTTATTTGTGGTGTTTCCCTCTTTACATCTCATTGTAACTGTTAATACCTTTTAATTAGGTAAATCCAACAGCCACTTCCACAACAGAGACTTCAATTTCTGGTGAGAATGTCAGTGTTGGTAATCAAAGTGAAGGCGCATCAACCCCTTATATGATCTCTCCTGTTGGGTTAGACCAGGGACTGGCACAACCAATTTCAGGATCTGTGCAAATTCCGATACAAGGCCAGTTTCAACCTTATTCAGGTCCATGGTTCTCAGCAGGTTTGCCTCAGACTCCAATACATCCACAACCTGGACTCATTCCTCCAAATTCTTCAGCACCACTACTCAGCAATCCTGTCCAAGTATCATCATCATCATTCAATCCCTCAAATATGCCGTCATTGTTTGGTCCTCGACCACTTATGACAGCTGGATTTGGCTTTGGTCCCCGTGGACCACAGCCACCAGTTTTGCAGCGCCCTTACATGCCTCAGGTACCCCACTTTGGTCACACTGGCCCACCAAGAAATTTTCCCATGCCATCTTTCCAGCCCTTACCAGCTCAACCCAATACTTCAGGCCCGCCTCAATTTACTGGTAACCAAGCCACACCAACAGGGCCTTCCCCAAATTTGAGGCCTTTAATGCCTTCAATGCCTCAACCAGCATCAAGACCTCTGTCAGGACCACTCCCTGACCGACCATTGACCCCTGCTGGTAACTCTACTCAATGGTCTCAGCCTCCGGCAGGCACACCTATCTCTATTGGTATGGGCAGCATGGCGCAGATGGTACCACCAATGGTCCCCCCGCAGGGGCCGTATCCTGTAGCCTCACAACCCATTGTTGGGTCTGGAGCTCCATTATCAAATTTTTCTTCATCCAATATGGTTTCACCTGTAACCTTCCCATCCAGGTCTGCTGCCCCTGAGTCATCCAGTACAGCTGTGAACCGTCCTATTGCAGCTCCTGTCTTTACTTCTGTTCCACGGTCTCAAGTGGGGCTTTCCCCTGTATCATCTTCTTTACTTCCCGCATCCATCCATTCTTCACCTGTTCCACCAGCACGTCCGATGATGTCTCTGGCTGCAGCACCTAATGCTTCCCCAAATCCTGTATTAGGTATCACACCAATTCCCTCATCAATGGGATCCACATCAACACTACCACCTCCTTCACAATCAGGAATCTTGAGTCCTGCTTCTGGAAGTGCCCCAAATTTTACTCCCATAAAACCCCCTTCTGTAACAGCTCCGAAGCCACAACATCCAAGTTCAAGTGATTTCACTTTTCAGCCTCACAGGCCGCAGAATCCAGCCCCTCAAATGGTTCCAAGGCCAAACAATCAGCCTACATTGCCCCGACAACCTACAGTGCAGCCACCTCAGGCACCTCAAACACCACCTTTCCGGCCAGCAATGCATAGTCCAACCCCACAAGCTGTCATGCAAGGTTTCCCTGGGCCACAGGTTAACAACCTGATGAATCAACCTCGATCTCAGATATCTGTTCCCTTCGCGGGTAATCCAGCTTCAACTCCAACCCCACTCAGGCATGCAGCAGCATTTCCGAATCCAGGTCCTATTGCACCAAATTCAACTGTTCCTCAAGTTGCGCCAAGAAACTTCAGTCCAGCTCCCCAAATGGCCAATTTGGCTGGCCCTTTCCCTCCCAGGCTTGGAAATCCCATGCAACTTCAGCAAAATTATCCCGGCGCAGGAACTCGACCACCAAATCTCTTGCCTTCTCCAAATCAACAGTTTAGCAGCAATCGTCCGTTTGCATCTGGTAAGCCAGGTTCTAGCCATCCGGGAGTGCAGCAAATTTATGATCCTTTCTCGCCCACTTCTGCACCGGTTTTGCCTCATCAGGGAGGTAATTCAGCAAAAGTGAGAAAGCAGGAGAGTGATCCAGAGTATGATGATTTGATGGCATCAGTTGGAGTAAAATGATTAAAGAGTTGGGATTGCATTTTGTTGGTTATAAGATTCAAGGGGGGCTGTTATGACCCAAAACAGAAAATCTAGAATTTCATTGATGCCCAGAGAATAGAGATTACACTGACCTCTCTGAATTATATTGTGTGAACTAATCATTGTGATTGTTGATTGTATCTCTTGCATTTTCTTTCTTGTAGAGAGGTAGGGAGACTAATCCTATAAAAAGTAGTTTTGGATGTACTTATAATTGAGTGTAAAGATAACATATTCATCATAGTCCATTATAAGCAGCAGTGAGAGATTACATTGCCCCTTGCATATATCTATATGTATGTATATATTATTATTTCATAATCACATTTAACTACTAGATTGAGATAGCTCTCCATATTTAACCATTAGATTGAGACAATTATTTTTGAGTTAGATGAATTATTTAATACATTTATCAATTCAGTGGTGGTGAAATTTGAAGAGGTGTTTTATTTATTTATTTTTTATTATTATTATTTTTTTAACATTACTTTTTTACATACACGATGTCTAAAACATGTTGGTAGTGAGATTCGAGCTCTCGCTCTATTTTGCTCTTATGGAGACTTGAATTATCAATTTTTTACTAAGGTGAGAAAGTATCACTAAATTCTAATTCTTGGTGTAATGACAAATTTAGATCAGTAAATCTGAGATCACTAAGTGAGATTTGAACTTAAATGATGCACCTTATTTGCGGATGATTGGATGTATTTATAAATTGTAAATGATTGGATGTATTTATAAATTGCAAATCAAGTCTAAAGTAATTTAGTGGGCAGGTTGATACATTTTTACCACCAAAAAAAATAATAAAAAATAATAATAATAATAATTGCCGTTCTTTGAAAAAGCCAGTAATAGCTTGCCTCTCTTATCATGGTACAACTGGAAATCATTGTCACCCTGTTATCATTCTCATGATCGATATATAATTTGATAATATTATTGATATTGTTTCACTATTCGAGTATTGGTATCAGTTTTGCATGATATGGCCTCTACTTACTATAATTTCTATAAAATGGGAATTTTGGTTTCAAAATGTTTCATATTTTGGAATTTAGTGTTGCATATTTCTTACCTTTTTGTATTTCTGTGTAACATAAAATATTATTATTATTTATTTAAAGGCTGGTTTTCAAAGTGGATAAACACAAGATCTATACATTGACGATTTGACATTGTAAGTGACTAAAAATTAAATTCTGAAACATATCAATTAGAGAATCAGCTGAAAACCAGGCTCATGTCCAGAATCAAATAAAATAGAGACCTTTACAAGAAGGTGGTGGTTTCATGAAACAATTAACAAAATACATGACCCCTCTCACTGAGGGACCCACAAAAACGAAAAAAAAAAAAAAAAAACACGAAAAGAGAAAAAAACGAATATGACCACTCTCATTAATTACTAATTCAACTAAATATATGACCTCTCTCATAAATCACTAACTTTCTTCTATACATGCACAAAAACACAATGAGCCCTCCTAAGCTAAAAACCCATCAATACAAACCAAACAATATCAATCTATTCACACTCTTTACCTTTTTGCCCCCAAATTAATTGTTTGCTCTCACTAAGCCAACACTATTAATTGTGGGCTTAATTAAAACAAAGTGGGATACAATACCACCAACCTAATTTTTTACACACACCTTATTATTAGAAAAATAATTGAGAGTCTGATATGACATTTCCTACTGATTTATGCGAATGAGAATGATGTCATTAATATTTTTAACATAATGATAATATCAATCCCTATTCGCATAAAATTAACAGAATTTGTCAGATTATTGACTCGTTATTATTATTAATTTCTACCTTTCCATGTCAATTGGTCCAAACCCTTTTCCCATATGATCAAGAAAACTCTTGGAGTTGCCTTGTTTGCTTTTATTCTGAGCCTCAACATCCTCGGTATCTTCTTCTAGGTGTTCTTCATATTTTGCTAGAGATTGGTATTCAATTTTGCCGCCATAAAATCTGATCAACACCAAGTAAATGGACACTGCAAAAATGGTCACTCCAATCAAGTACCAGCTGAACTGAAGATTCACCAGCGATTTAGCACGGTGGAGGGCTTCATCCGCGGTGCACCGGACCACAAAGTGACCGTCTTCCAATTTCATGAAGCAACCTTTAGGCATCAATTCAGGTGTCCAAAGCATGAACCCCATAACGATAAGCCAAACACCTTGGAACAATATGCTAAGTGACCTAACAAAACTGACCATGAAGCTCTTAGGGTAACCAACACCCATGAGAGTGGTGACTAGAGACACGAGTATGACAACTTGGAGGAGCATGTGGTATTGGCCTTCCACGCCCATGTGGTCAGCAGAATGGAGGTGGAAGAGGAGAAGCTGCTGGCCGAAGGCGATGGCTCCGAGCAGTTGGGTGAGGCCGTGGCGTGGTTTTGGGGGTGCAGCAGCGCGGTCTAGGAGGATGGACAATGCCGCATAGACGAAGAAGGTCATGGAGATGGAGGAGTGCTCGAAGTTGTGGAGATGGTTGGAGGGTATGGTGCCGTCATGGTCTAAGGGGTGGTGTTTGTGGGGCCCAATGAAGAGCTCCATGGCGATGGACATGGAGGAGGCTCCCATGATCAAGAAGAGCTCTAGGTATCTTGACTTTGAGGTTGGGAACCATGGCAAGGATGTGTAGGAGTTTGGGTGGAGAGCATGGTGCTTGATGTGGTTGAGGAGGTGCCATAGTCCAATGACAAAGAAGCCAAAGCCAGGTGCAACATGTCCCACCAAAGTGCCCATGTTTTGTGTGTGTGTGAGGAGACCCTTGTGGTTGATTAGTTGTGTTTGGTCCTTCGATAGAGATAGAGAGAGGAGAAGGGGAATAAGGGATACAGGAGGAGAGAGAAAGAGGAATGAACAATGAGGCGGGGGGGAGGGAAAGGGGGGGTTTAAGGGGGTTGAAATGTGGAATTTTTTATGGTCTAGAGGCTTCTAATTCTATGAGGATGGCGTTTGAAGTTTGAAGTTTGAATAGTACTACATATTTGAGGTCTTGTGTCTTGTGCTTTGGGTAATAAAATAGAGTTGACCAATGACCCCTTATCTAGATGATGTGGCAACTTGTTTTCTAGAAGCAAGGCCCATCCATCTACATTAAATATACGGAGATATGACTTCCAATATTTTGTTAAATTATAAATTCATCTTATATTATAATTAGTTTTTGGGTAAATCCTAAAAAGTTTCGTGTGACATTAAAATTATCTCCAATACACTGCAAGGATGGTAGAGATAAATTTGTGAATCTTATTGTAAAGTAATTTGCACCGTCTCAAGTGTACGGGACGTCACAATATACTAAGATTTTTTTACTACTTTGTCCTACTAATTTTGTTATTTTGAAATATATACTTATAAAATATTATCTTTTTCCCTTAAAATTATAAAAATTCTATTACCCCTCCTCACTTGAGTTTCTCGTGTATATGTGTGTGTGTATATATATTTTATTTTTTTTCCTCTTTCGTCCATGAAAACAATGTTTAAAGAATACAACATTTCGAGACGTTGGGCGCAAATCTTCTGTAGTGTGATTCCCCTGCGGTTTCCTATAGTGAGTTTTAAGTGATCTATATTTAGTCACGTCATTCTTCAGCTAACGGACACTGAGACCGCGTTTAGCAATTATATTACCATTTATAAGTAACATTTTACCAAAATTTATAAGTAACATCATAATAGTCTAAAAAGTTATATCACCATTTATAAAATGATAACATTACCACGTAAAAAGGGCTGTTGACAGCTAAATTAATAAAATAAACCATCTTCACCCTCAAAATAAGGTATGCACATAATGTAGACTAAGTAATGTCACATATAAACGTAACTCAATTCAACATAACATTTATGTTATTATTTAAAATTAAAATATTTTAAAAACACTTTAACATGTTAATTTAAAGAATTTAAACCAAAATTAAAATCACTTGGATTAAATTTAGACAACAAACAAAACACTTGATGTTTCCAAATATAATGAAAAGAGCCACATCTCCCTTTTTTTTTTTTTTTTTCAAATATTAAAAAAACATACACTTAAGTATAAATTATTTGACATATCTTTAAAAAAAAATTGACAAAGTTTAATATTAATTGCCACACTCACCACCTTCACCATCAAAAGAAAAAATTTGGCAAAGTTTAATATTAATCGCCATACTCACCACCTTCACCATCAAAATAAGTTATTTACATAGTGCTGAAAAATTAATAGTCACACATAAATCTAACTTAATTCAACATATTATTTATATATTTTTTAAGTTATATTTTATCATAAAAAAATAAAACATCTAAAAAAATAGTCACATGTTAATTTAAAGAGGATTTTGAAGGAGATTATGAGGTATTTGACTGTCAACAATTTTTACTTTTTAAGTGGTGATGTTACCCTTTTACAAATGGTGATATTACTTTTTAAAATCCTATGATGTTAATTATAAGTGATGGTGAAATGTTACTTATAAATGGTGGTGTAATTGCTAAACACGATCTCAATGGCTATTAAATGAAGAACCACGTGGCCAAACATAGATTACTTAAGAGCTCACTGCAGGGGATAGAATAGGAACCCACTTCAGAGGATTCACGCCCACATTGCTTTATCCTTGAGACAATCCAAAGTTTAAAGAATGAATAATGATAGGCGTCCGACTAAAGATGCCTGACTTTCATACGAATCTTATGTGGCTATGCCATGTCAGAATCTTAATTAAGAAAGAAAGAAAAGAAAAAAATGCTGGCTAACATGCTTCTTTATTGCACAATCTCCCTCTTCAATTCTCGCTTCCAACGATTTCCTCTTTCTCCGTCTTCAATTCTGGTGTGCTCTCTTTCTTCCTTCGATTTTACATTCCTCATGCACATATTTATGCCATAATCTCCTTTCCGAATATAATATTTTAAGTCATAATCCCTAATATGGATTTTCATGAGTACGTTTCTAAATTTTTGTGATTATTTCATGAACATAATTTTTGTGAATATTTTATTTTTTGAATTAATTTCTTTCCAAGTAGCATCAATGATTTATGTGGTAGCTTTAATTCTCTCCCCAATTCCTCACTCTCTTCGTTTTTACCATCTTCTTGATTTTTCCATTCTATTCTCTCTCTTCAATTTGTGCTCTCTCTTTCTCTCTTTAAAATTATAAGTCAGCGTTTTAAGGCTCTAATCTGGGTATGTTTCTAAATTTTTGTAGATATGTTTCTGAATTGTGGTGGTTAATTCATGACAGATTTTTTGTGGGTATTATTATGGAAGATGAAATCACAAAGGGAGTATTTAGATGATGCGAATAGATTATGCATTTGGCATCCCCATTACAACATGTTTATATTTGACTTTGCAAACCAGCATAAACAAATACTCTGATTTCTTATTTCGATTTTGGGAAATCCAAGAATAAGCCTAAGAATCAAGGATAGGCGAGACCCAAAAAGGAAAAAGATGAAGAGATAGATCAGAGATGCAAAATTAGAGAGAGGGGAAATCGCATGGTAGTAACTTTCACCCTTTAGAAAGGAAACCAATTATATATATATATATATATATATATATATATATATATATATATTATTCCTGCATTTTTTTCTTAATTAAGGGTCCGATGTGGCATAACCACATAACATTTAGGAGTAGGCTTGTTTGATATCGTTATTCAATGCTTAACATAGAACACAGTAAGCGAATTTTTAAAATTAGCGTGTTTGATAACATTTAGGTTTTCATCTAAAATATTACGCAGTAGCTTGCCAAAATTTTATGCGACATGGATCTTGCTTAACACTTATCGCAAAATTTTAAACGACATGGATCTTGCTTAACACTTATCGCAAAAGACGGTAAGTGATTTTAGGTTTAAAATATTTTGTTAATGACAATGTTACACTCAATGCTACTCTTGTTTCTATTTCCACTTTGCATTTCTATTCCCTTCCGATGGATTTTTACTTTTAGTGTATTCCAATTTTTCAAATAATGTAAATATAAATAAATATATCTATATATATAGATATATACTGCATGGTTCATTTAAGTTTATAATCAACAATCATGTAATGAAACCTTCACACCATTGTTATGATGCAAATCTACTATATAAATAAAAATTGAATGATTTGTGCATGAATTCTATTCTCCTTCTTATAAATATTTCATTTTCATCAGTTTTGACATTAATATTCATTCTTAAATTGATATATTTCTTTGGTGAAATTCATTATTATATATATATATATATATATATATAAGTTTTAATATAATATCTTTTATAATAATATTATGTGTAGAAAATATTGAAGGCAAAAATGTAATATATATAACATTCATATTTCAGCTTTTGCATTTAACAAACAATCTTAATGAATTTAGTGTTTGAAATTAATACAATATCAAACAAGTATACATATTAATATATTCAGCACTTAAAATTTCCAACGCTGAATTTTTAGTTTTGACTTAAAATTTTGTGTGCTTAATTTTCAGTTTTCACTTCAAATTTTTAGTATTTAATTTTCAATTTTCACTTAAAATTTTCAGTGCTTAATTTTCAGTTTTCACTTAAAATTTTTAGTACTTAAATTTTCAAATTTCACCTAAAATTTTCAACACTTAATTTTAAGTTTTCAATTAAAATTTTCAGTGCTTAATATAAATTTTCACTTAAAAATTTAGTTTCCACTTAAAATTTCCAGTACTTAATTTTCAGTTAACTTAAAATTTGCAGTGCTTAATTCATATTTCAGCTTTTGCATTTAACAAACAATCTTAATGAATTCAGTGCTTGAAAGTAATACAATATCAAACAAGTTTACATATTAATATATTCAGCATTGAAAATTTCAGCGCTTAAAATTTCAGTACTTAATTTTCAGTGCTTGATTTTCGGTGCTTGCTTTTCAGTTTTCACTTTAAATTTTTAGTGCTTAGTTTTCAGTTTTCAGTTAAAATTTTCAATACTTAATTTCAAATTTCACTTAAAATTTTTAGTGCTTCAATTTCAGTTTTCACTTAAATTTTCAGTGCTTAATTCTTAATTTTCACAAAAAAATTCAATGCTTAATTTTCAATTTTTACTTAAAACTTGCAATAATTAATTTTCAGTTTTCACTTAAAATTTTTAGTGCTTAATTTTCAGTTTTCACTTACAATTTTCATTACTTTATTCTCAGTTTCCACTTACAATTTTCAGTGATTAATTTTCAATTTTCACTTACAATTTTAATTACTTAATTTTCAGTTTTCATATAAAATTTTCAGTTTTCGCTTAAAATTTTCATCGCTTAATTTTCAGTTTTCACTTTAAATTTTCAGTACTAATTTTCAGTTTTCACTTTAAATTTTCAGAACTAATTTTCAGTTTTCACTTAAAATTTTCAGTGCTTCATTTTTAGTTTCAACTCAAAATTTTCACTTTTAGCTTTGACTTAAAATTTTCAGTGTTTAATTTTCAGTTTTCACTTAAAATATTATGTGCTTAATTTTCAGTTTTCACAAAAAAATTTAAGTGATTAGTTTTCAATTTTCACTTATAATTTTCAATGTTTAATTTTGTAGTTTTCACTTAAAATTTTCAGTGCTTAATTTTCAGTTTTTACTTAAAATTTTCAGTTATTACTTAAATTTTCAGTTTTCACTTATAATTTTCGATGCTTATTTTTCAGTTTTCACTTAAAATTTTCAGTTCTTTATTTTCAGTTTTCACTTAAAATTTTGAGTGATTAATTTTAAATTTTCACTTATAAAATTCAATGCATAATTTTCAGTTTTCAATTAAAATTTTCAGTGCTTGATTTTCAGCTTTCACTTCAAATTTTCACTGATTAATTTTAAATTTTCACTTAAAGTTTTCACTTAAAATTTTCA